TTATCATTACAGCTCTTCAGCCCTGTCCTGTCCAGGGCCTGCTCCCTGCCATTACCTGGTCTCTGCCAGCTGCTTGGAAAGGTCATGTTGGTGGCGCTCCACGGCTGCCAGTCGGCCCTCAAGGGCAGCCTTCTCCCGGCCCAGCAGCTCCTTCTCTCTGCCCACCTGGGCCAGTTCATGCCCTTGGTCAGAGGATTCCTGGCTCAGCTGCTCCAGAGCTTTGCTCAATGATTCTTGCTTCTGGGAAACCTGCAAGTGGGACAAGGTACAGCTGGAGCCCTTCCTGGGGAGCCCTGTGCAGAGCCAGCCAGTGCCACCTGACAGGCAGCCAGAGGACAAGGAGCACCTGTGCTCTGGCCTCAAAGTTTCACAGCATCTGCCCCATGCAGCTCTGATAGCCTGGCCAGCCAGAAGCCTCTGGCACTGTTACCTTGGAAGTGCTGTGGCAGGCCCTGCTCCTTCCCAACAAACATCCCTACTCTGTGTTGTCTCTCAAAAACACTGCATCTTCCACAACTGCCACTTGGCTAACCAAATTGCTATCTGGATATATTTCAGTGCTGGACATTTTCAGCAAAGTTGGGGAAAACAATTTTGCTTGCTGAATCAAGGGAAAATATATAGGATTTTCCCCTTCTAGAAAAAAACCCACATCAAAATGTCACCTCCTCACATATTCCAAGGAACTCTCTGCAAGGAGAGGATGCTTGGCTGGGAAATGCCTCTTGTGCTGAGCAGACATTTAGGGACTGATGGATGTCTGTCTGATGTGGCCAAAACAAATCCTCTGCTGTGCATTTGCCAAACCTACCACATTCCCCAGAACTGAGACTGTCTGACAGAGACCATCTGAAACACAGCCTTGTCTTGCAGCTATCCTGTAACACCCAATGCAAACCTCCCCTGCCACAGCTTGGGGCTGTTTCCTCTTCTCCTGTCCCTTGTTCCCTGGGAGCAGAACCTGACCCTCACCTGGCTGCAGCTTCCTGTCACAGTGAATTGTAGAGAGCAAGAAGGTGCCCCCTGAGCCTCCTTTCATGCAGGCTGAGCCCCCCCAGCTCCCTCAGACGCTCCTGGTCACACCTGTGCTCCTGAGCATTCCCCAGCTCCCTTCCCTTCAATCAATATGCTCCAACTTCATGACAAAAAGCCTCAACACAAACATGCAGACCTGGGGTGTTTTTTTTTTCAGAAAAAGGATTCAGAGCTACACAATTTGATCCTTTTGCCACAGTTTGATTCTTTTGCCACCCACTCAGATTCATGGACAACACAATTATCTCTTTGCAACTTATCAAGAGCCAAAAAAGAGGCCAACCAACACAGGTGGATTGAAAGAGTCTGTACAAGCAGAGAACAACTCCGAGAACTGTGGAACAGCTCTGGAAGCCACCCACACATTTCCAAAAAGGAGCAAGCAAAGCCTTGTGACCTCGAGCACTACCACATGTTCCCTTGACAAAACCACTGCAGAATCCACCAAGTGAAGCTTCCCTCATCCAAGCAGCCCAGTGCCCACGTGGATGCACCATACTTTTGGTCACCTGATGGAATTTCTCCTGGGTTTCTGCTTTCTCCTCTCCCAGTGTCCTAAGCTCCAGCCACAGCTCCTCCCGTTGCTCCTCTGCTTCCTTCAGTAGCTGCTCTAGCCGGGCTTTCTCTGCACAGAGCTCTTTGTTTGCTCTTTCATAGAAGTTCAGCTTCTCCTGCTCACAGATCTTTGCTCTCTCCATCTCATCCACTTTAGCAGACAAAGCTTCCTTCTCTTGCTCCAGCTAGAGTCACAGAAACAGAGGAAATAAAGTACAGGAAGAATTACTATGAAAGATTGTCTCAGACACAGAAGGAACACTGCCACAGTCAGCTGGCCAGACTATGCCAAGATAAGAAGGCTGAGAAGCAGCAGCTGGAGACAAACATCTGGCACATCTCTGGCAACTCTGCTCACCTGCCACACGTATTTGTTCAGCTGCACTTTGTCCAGTGCAAGAGCTTCATTGATGCTGCTCATCTTTGCTGCTGCAGCCTGCAGATCAGCTCTTTCAGCATTCAGCTTGTTCTGAGCCCCTGTCAGCTCTGCCACTGACCGCTCTGCCTGGAGAGGAAAAAGAACAATGGGACAACAAAGGCAGAAAAATCCCAGACTGCAGGCAGACACTCCACCTCTCCTGTGTGTCTTTGACTTATTCCCAGGGCACAGCTCTCAGTAAGATCATGGGGACCAATGACCCCAAAGAGCCTGCCTGGTTGGATCATCATTTTCCAAGAAGAACAACAGTGTCCCTCTCTTCTACTGCTGGAAACAGCATCTCAGGTGACCTTGGTGGCACAGCTCCTGCTCCCACAAGTGCTGCCTAGGAATAAGGTGTCCATACCTTCTCCAGAGCCATGGCAATCTCATCCTTCTCTTGCTCCAGCAGATCCTTCTGAAGCTGCAATTTCCCCAGTGTCTGTCTCTGGACTACCAACTCACTCTGCAGTAATGAGTGTTTTTCCTCAAGTACAGCCAGGTCCTTCACTCTATGAGGAGGGGAAAGAGGTTTTTACAGAAAAACAGTCTATGCCACAAGAGAGGAGCAGGCACCATTCGTTCCTTCACACTGGGCCCCCTCAAGCCCAGCACTGCCAGAGGAAGCTTTAACACTCACAGGAGCTCCTGCTCACGGCGTGCTCTCTCCATCCTGTCCTGCTGCTCTGCCTCTTTTGCCTGGGCTGACTCCTCCCTCATCTGCAGCTCAGCGTTACTCTGACGCAGACATGAAGCTTCTTGCTCCATTAATCCAAGCTGTTCCTGCAGCTCTTCCCTGGTTTTCTCGAGGTTTGCACAGTCACTGCAGAGACAAGGCTCAGTCAGAAGAAGCAAGAGGCCTGAAGAGACAGCAATGCCATTTTCAGCACTCCAGGATGGAGCTGGGGGCAGTGGGCTAAGGAAGACCTTGCTCTTTTCCTCCCAAGGAAATCCTCCAGAGGCAAAGGGAAAGGAAGGCAGGATGTTGCCTTCCTTCAGCCACAAGCAGTGGATGGGCAGGGGCACACAAAGAACAGAATTCAGGGAAGCAGCACGGCAAGAAGAAGGAGTCTTCTATTCCAACATGGCTCTGCATCTCCCAGACAGTCTTGGGAGTCACAGTAGAGCATGAAAAACCCAGACAGGACAATGCTCGAGAGCCACACTGAGGCCTACAGATGGTGGGCAGGTGATTTCTTCACCCAGGACACCTCTGACCTCCCAAACCTGGAAGCAGATTGCCTCTGGAATGCAGGAGGAGGAGACACTCACCTTCTGAGTGTTTCTACTAAAGACTGAAGATGCTGCTGGTGGCTGCTGGACTCCTTGCATTTCTCCTCCAGTTGCTCAAGCCTTTGCTGCACCTCCCTGCACTTCTCTTCCTGATGCCTCTGCTGCTGCAGCAGGAATTTGTTTGAGTCCTGCCTAGCAGAAAGCTCTTCTCTCAGGGCCTGCAGGAACAGGCAGGAAAGGAGCACAAATGAGCAGTAAGGAGCAGGGAAGGTGGCTCCAGAGAGCTGGAAGAAACAGCTAGCAGAGCCAGCTCCCCTGATGGCAAAAGCTGTGCTGAGAGGGTGGGCATCAAGGAGAGAAAAGCAGCAGAACACAGAGCTGGGAAGAGCAGCAAAGCAGTGCAGGAGTATGAAGGTGCAAAGAAGTGCCTCAAGGGGCTGAGCAAATGGAAAGGTGTTGAGCTGAGCAAGGCCTCAGCACTGAGCCTGTGGCCACTGGGGAAGACACAAAGTTCTCACCCATGTTGCCCCTCGCATCCTTGCCAGTGCTTCCAGAACCAGTCCAAAGGCATGTCCGGTATCAACAGACCTTGGAGCTGAGATGTGCCCAGAGTCTGCATGCTGGGAGCTGCCAGTGCAGATAATGCTGACCATGCTGTCACTGTCATCTAGCACCATCTGAAAGTCCACATCCAGCTGTTAGTCTTTCCTCATTTTACTTGGTTTTCTTTATCTTGTTCTCGTTTTCCTCCCACTTTACCCTGGAGTCATTAAAAACTCAATTTTCTTGTTTCTTCAGTCCACAAAGGTTTGTCCCTGTGGCTACATGTACTCCTGGGATTTCTGAATACAGCTACTCTTCACAAGTGTGATGTGGCTGGAGGCTGCCTGAACACTCACTTTCTTGCAGCTGTGTAGAAGAGATGACAACTAAACCTTTCACTATTATGAGAACTTTAAGGCTAAGTTAAGGCTACCCCTGAAAGTTGTCATTCTGGGGAGATTATAATGGTCAGTGAACACTGAGGGAAGGAGCAGAGCTGGCAAGTGCATCAACTGAGTCAGTGACCTTTCATAAAGATCTGAAGAACAACAGAGTCATTGCTCAAAGAGGGTGAGGGAATTGCCCAAGAAACACAGGCACACAAATGTCAAGTAGCACACTCCAAAAACACAGTCCAAGAGAGACCTTAGTGGGGTGGTGAAGCCAAAGGTACTGAAACTTCTAATGGCTCACTGAATTGTCACAGCACAGCAACTCACAAGTTAGAACAGGTTCTGTGTCAGAAAAGAGGTCTAAAAATTAAACAGGCAATGGCAGTTATCACAGATAGTACACAACATGTATAATCCTCAGGCCAGTCTGTTGCCTTCCTCAAATACTTCAGAATCAAATTTACAGGGATGTGGTCCCTGTACCAGGTCTGCACTCACCTCAGTGATATTTTTAATGAGCTTTTGAAGGAAAAGATTCTCTTCTTTGGCACTGTTAGTCAATGAAGCTGTAAATTCTTTCTCTATCCAACTTGATTCCTGAGAACAGAATAAAGGCAGGGTGGGCACGGAAGAGCTGCTCCCATCTGCAGCATTCCCATCCTCAGTAGCAGTCACACTGCTGAGTCTCAGCCCTAGTGATTCCAGTATATTCCTGTCCATATCTATTCCATTTCTTCTCTACTAAAACTACAAGGAAGACCAAAAGCTAGTCTTTATAGACTGCTATTAAATGGTCAGTTCCAAGGAACTCTGATCCCCAGAGACCTGAAGTCACAGGCAGAAGAGCACTGGTGCCACCCCTCAGAGGAAGACACCTGAACTGCCTGCAGTTCCTCTGGCACTGCCTGCATCTGGACTGACTCCACATCTGCTGAACACACAAGGAATATTTTGGCAAGGTGCCTGATGTTCCCATACACTGGGCATCTTTACCACTGTTTCTCCTGAGGAAGCCACACCTCTGTGTTCAGGCTGCAGAGCAAACACTGGGCTATCTCCCAGGTAAAGGTAAAACATACTAGAATCTCCACTGTGTCGTTAAGTGTTTTCATGGTCTTCTCCTTCTCCTCGTTCTGCTTCTGAGACTGCACAAGCAAGGCTGAGAGCTCCATCACCCTGAGAAGAGAAGGTCTATGTGCCATTCCAAAAGCTTTGCACACCAGCACCTGTTAAAGAGGCAAGCAGCTCCCCAAAGCATAGCATAGCAAAGTTCAACCCAGGAAACACAGCAAAGGCAGCATTCATCTCTACAGGTTAATAGGCTTGGTGCTGCACAATGGCACCTCTTGCCCCAAAAGCCTCTGCACTCAGTCTTGCAAGGAACTGTCAGCACACAGGTGCTGCAGTGCTTATGGTGGCCCTGGGCAAATTCCTCTCAATTCCATCACACAGCCCAGAGAAGTAAAAGGGCTGTACAAGAAACACAACTCTCTTTGTGCTGAATTCAGTTTTTCACCAAGAATCACTTAACAGCAAAAGCACTATCAGAGGCTATCTCTGTTTTTCAGTCTTGTCTTACTTGGAAGAATTTCTGTCAGGCAAATACTTTTTTCCATCCTTTCTGTTGAAGGGAAGAGTTTGACTGAGGACAGACACAGAGCTGTGCAGGGCTGTTCTAAATGTGAGCACAGCCCATCTGTGAACCCAAGAAGCTGCCACAAAAGATAATGCTGGTAATAGCAAAGTTAAAACACCTTTACCTGTCCTGAAGCTCTTTCTTCTCCATGTCACACCTGACTTGTAAGGCTATCACTTCCTGAGCTGTCTGGTTCATTTTTGGTTCCACTTGCTGCTCTGCCTGATCCTTCAGGACAGGTTTACCCCGAGTGATGGACTCCCTGAGCTGCACACAGGAGTTCAGGCGAGAGCAGTTCACAAGAATAGATCCAGAAAGCCTCATCTGTTCTGCCTTCAGCTCTGACAAATCTCTGAAGAGGAACCAAGAAAGAGCCAATGTTCACTCCACCATCTTTATCAGCTGATTCACTTCTAAAGCATGCAATCATGCATCAGGAATAGCTGGCAGGCAAGGTGATGTCTTTGCTGGGGACAAGTCATTCATCTGACACTTGGGGACCAGGACACATCTTGACACCTGAACAATGACTTTACCAGGTAGCCAAGTGTGGAGTCTGTTTTCTTCTGATACAAGAAGTGAGATACGGCACAGGCCAGAAGGCCTGAAGAACCTCTAATTACTCTTATTAACAATACTGTAATTATCATTACTAGATATTAGGAATTTTACCAAGATCCCCAGCTTTTATATACTCTGCTCTTGAGTGCTCTGTTATCCCCACTTGGACTGCTAAGAAGCTCAAGACTATACCTATATAATAAAACATTTCAGAAAGGTGGTGTAAGAATCAGCCTGAAATGCTGTAACATAAAAGCACAAACAATACAAGGACTAAATAGCAGGTCAGGCAGACTCTACACAATAGGGAAGACTTATAATCAAGACAAATGGCTTACAGTAACCCAGAGTTTGAAAGTGCATGTTAACACCAGAAGGTACTATTATGGCTACACTATTTTTCTTGGGAGAAAAGAACTTCAGAGAGCCCAAGAACAAGAAAACAATCATAAAAAGAGGTATCAAACTAAACAAAACAAATTGGACAAATGCAGTAACAGGGTAGAGAAGCTATTCTTTCTTTCTCTCAGTAATGCTGGAAGAGGAGTAAATGGATACAAACTGACCACAATAAATGTATCCTGGAAATGAAAAAGGAAAAAATATGCATTAATCATCTTTCTCTTAGGAGCAGTGGGAAAAGAAATTTGGTAAGATTTTTTAAAGGCAGGTTTTTATAATTTCATAAAAGGGACCTCTCTATATGCTGCATGCACAGCTTCAGTGAGTCTCTTCCCACGTGTCCATGCATTTCTGTGCCTGCGTTCACATGCCCACACATCACCACAGTCATTGCCTGCTCACAGCCTCTGCTGTCCTCATGGCCCAAGCCCTTCAGCTTTATCTGAAGAACGTGGTGGTGTTCAGAGGGCTCCCAGGATGAGGGAAGAGATGAGAATCTTGACTCCATGTTTCAGAAAGCTCATTTATTATTTTATGGTATATATAATATTAAAAGAAAATGATATATTAAAATTATACTAAAAGAATAGAAGAAAGGATTTCATCAGAAGGCTAACAAGGAATAGAAAGGAAGGAATGATAAAATCTTGTTACTGATCAGAGACTCTGAGACAGCTGGACTGTGATGGGCCATTAATTAAAAACTACCACATGAAGCCAATCACAGATGCACCTGTTGCATTCCACAGCAGCAGATAATTATTGTCTACATTTTGTTTCTGAGACCTCTCAGCTTTCCAAAGATCCTAATAAAAGGATTTTTCATAAAATATGTCTGACAGAAGACCAGCAGCCAACAACTGCTCTGAGACCAGCCCAAAGCTGAATGGCATTGCTTCTGACTGCCAAAGGAGCAATCCCACCTCTGCTGTACCTAATGCAACAACATGGAGGTTCAAAAGGCAGGACCCAAAGCAAGCAAGGCCCACTTTGCTGCAGGGGATGCCGCCCCAGGCCTGACTCACCGGTCCGTGGCGGTTTTCATCTCCAGGAAGAGGCGGCGCAAGGTCACCACCTGCCGCCACAGCCCCAGCAGCCGGCTGTGCTCCCCCCTCACGTAGCTGTCATAAAGCTAAACGTGCAAGGACAAAAACAAATGCCAATTCAGCCTTCACTGTCACTGCAGCATCTCTCAGACAGGAGAGAGTGAATCACCCTCACCCGCTGCCTTTTAGTAACTACTGCACCAGGGCCATCAGGGACTGAAGAGGCACCACACAGGCCCACAGAAGGGAACACCTGCCCAGAGGGGAGCACCCACACTTCTCCCGTGGCAGTGGGTGGCAGCAGCAGGGTGATGGTGATTCACCACCTCAAAGTCACAGCAGAGAAACACAAACACAAACTCCTTCAACGTTAGTGCCAGGGTGGCTTACAACAGGCAGTCAGTACAAGAGGTCTGTCTTGTTCTGTGTTGGCCACTTTGAACCTGAATGCACACAGACCTCTCTGGTCTCAATTGCTCAAAACAAGGATTAAGGAACTATTAAAGAGACAGGTGTTCCTGTGGCTGCCATACAGTGCCCAGCTCTATCTTCTTGACCAAGCAGGGCAGTCACAGAAGGTGGGCATCTCCCCCAGCACCCTCTGCTCCTCCCTCCCATACCCCTGTCCAACACCTGGCATCCTCAGCAGAGCCACAGCCTCCACACAGCAAGTTCTCCATGCCAGGAACTGTGGAAACGCAGGGCACCAGGAATATTTCCCTGTCTGCTCTGGGGTGCCCTGACCCCCAGGAGAACACTGACTTTGACTCTCATTCATGGAGAAAGTTTCCTAAACTCCAGAATAGACTAGAATCCACTAGGGTGTGAAGCAGATTGTAGAGAGTAGTGTAGGTGTATCACTTAGGTGGGAAATTTAGGTTTTAGGATTTTTACTATGTAATGGATAGAAGCAAGATGGAGGGCACAGGGTGTCATCCTGGGCTTCTTCTTCATGCTTCTTCTTCCTTCTTCATGGGTTTGGGTGGCATTTTGTAATTGGGCGGAAAAGTCTGCATTGTGGGCTCTTTGGGACCAGTTATTGGGTTAAAAGGGAAAATAATCCAGGTGTCAGTTCTTAATTGGATAGTTTAGCTTTATAAGACCTTGTAACAAAATATTGTTGGCCATTTTTGCGGTGCTTTTCCAGTGCACTGACCTGGTGTGGACAGCATGCAAAACTCTAGATAAGATAACAATAAACAAGAACCTGAAGACCAAAAAGATCGAGTGTGTCGCTTTCCTGACACAAGACTGCTCCAGGAGGGTCTCCCCCAACAGAGGAGCCCCTTGGGAGGGCCCAGCCAGAGTCACAGAAGTTGGGGAATCAGCAGCAGGTACCCAACAAGGAACAAAAGGCATTCCCACTCCCATGGCCCATCCTCACCTCCCGTTCCCTGCGCCATTCGCTCTCCTTCAGCTCCAGCTCCTCCCGGGCCCTCATCCAATCCACCGTCAGCTTCCCAACGTCCTCCTTGAGGGCAGAATTCACCTCGCTGGCTTTATCGAGGTGCTCCCGCAGGAGAGTGTTCACTTCTGCCAGATTCTCACACCTTGGAAAGAGAGAGAGAAACAACAATGAGGTCACTGAGCAACAGCTCTCCAGCATCCCTGTGATTTTCCAGCTCCCTTAACAGTGACTTTGTTGTCTGAGAGGCAGTAAAAGCACTTTACAGGGTTAACTAAGATCTCTCTGTGATGAAAACCTCATTTGCTTCTCTGTGCTTTGAGCCTTCAATTTCCATCCATGATTTTGGTTTCCCCTTCAACCCTGATGATGCCCACAAGTAACAATTTGCCCCCTCTTCACGCTGATGGTCACTGGATGTATCACTTTTCTGTAGCACTGTCCAGAGTTGTTCCCCTACTGAACCACAGAATAATTTTGGCTGGAAAGGGACCTTTCACCCAGAATACACACCCCACTTCCCCACTCAAAGCAGAGCCACTCAGCACACAGCACTATTACTGCACCACAGAAAGCAGATTGTGGACCTTTCTCCTGTCAGAGCAGCTTGCCCAACCGCTTCCCTTGGGGAGACCAGGTAGCACCGACAGGTTTTCCCTCACTTCCATGAGCATCCAGGGTACCAAGTATGAAGAAATGCTTCTTCCTTGTACCTGTGCTGCTCCTCTTCCACCTGAAGCAGTGCTTTCTCCAGGCTGTGGTCTGCTGTGGCTTCCCACCTGCCTGGAAGGGATCCCTTTAAGAAGAAAGGAAATGTTTAGTCAAATGACAGTGTTTCCTCCACCACTGTCAGCATCCACCACTTTCCCATCCATTTGTTGGGTATCTCAGGAGCTCATGGCTTCTTCCAGGTGTAAAAGTGTTGTGACTACAGGGAGGAAGGGAAGGGTGTTAGAGTGAGTAGCTCTCCTCACTCTCCCACTGCTATGTGTCCTCGCTTCATGACTTCAAGTGCTGATTTGGACTTGAAGCCTGGGAATGCTCTCCTATTCTTCCACCCCTTGGCTTCTAGGTTTACTTTAGCTATGAAGCAGAAAGAAATGCATAGGGCCAGTTCTGTATGTTGACCACCATATTTCCAAAAAGCTGTTTCAACTGGTTCTTTCTCCAGGACAGCTGTATCATGTAACACACAGCACAGTCCTCTCCTGAGACCCAGGACAAATGTAACTCTAATGAAGCACTCTTTCACAAAATTAAAATCCTCACCTGGGTTTTCTGGACTTGTTTTTCTGGGACTACTGACTGCAAATGGACAAAACACTGATGGGAAGATTCACAGTGTTTCTCTAAACTCTCAGACAGTAACAATCTTCTTTCTTGTAATTGGATTCTAGAGAGTTTTCATTGGTCTAGATTTGGGAACATTAGATACACCCTTTTTAGTTAACAACCTGCAGCACACTCACCCCTCCAGCTTTCACTTGCTGCTCCAACTCTCGACACCAGGTCTGGTACTGCAGTACCTGAATGGATACAGAGAATGAAGATGAGAGAAGCAGCTTGTTATAGACTCCACTCACCCCACATTAACTTTTCTCTGACTCTGTCCAGCACAGTGATTCTGATACGCTCCACAAGAAGTCACTGCAATATAGGGAAGTTTCACAGTAACACGACAGAGATTAGGGCGGGGTTTCTTTCAGGCGTAGCACTGTCTGCCCACCTGAGACAGCGGCAGCAAGCAGAACGATGGGACAGCTGCGGGCAGCTCTACCTGACCTATAGGCCCCGCGTAACCCGAGCCAACATCTGGCTGTTCAAGGGGGTCCTTGAAACGACCGAAACGAGTTTTCAAACTTGCTCTGCGAGCCAACCAGCCCGACCCCTGTCCGGGACAACCCCGCTAACGGGGCCGAACAGCGGCGATGCTGCGGGCACCGAG